ATATAAGACTAATTTCGGCTGCCTAAATGCCGTAATTACTTTTTTATTAAGATGGGCAATTTAGGCACACATGTATACGTACGTATAAATATCGATAATATTATATTCATTTTTAATGTTTGAAGCTATTTTCAATCTCCACAAATTCGTAGAATTGAGATGATATTAAACATTGAAGGTGACTAGTTTTATATTGAGAAATCTTCAATCAAAGATCGAAAAAACATAATAATACGATATAATAAATATAAGTTTAGCCAATCACAGGTTTATATTTTATTAGATTTCCTAATTCACTTCGAAAAAAAATAGATTGCAAATACAAAAGATTTATAACTAAATAATTTTTATTATCAATAAATTTTTCTATAACTCAAAACATAATATTAATATCCAAAAGTAATATTAATATCTTTTCTACTAATCACTTTTTTATAATTTTCTACCATATCATAAATACATTTAAACGTATCTTGTTCTTCATAATCATCTGAATTTTCTTTACCAAATCCGGGATAAAGTTCTTCATAATCATATGAATTTTCTTTACCAAATCCGGGATAATGTTCTTCATGATCATCTGAATTTTCTTTACCAAATCCGGGATAATGTTTATTATAATGAAAATTTAAGGATGTTAAAGTTACATTTTCGCGTAAAGCACTTATTATTGCTTTGACAATTGGTTCAGAATCAACTTTATTAATCGAAAGATCTAAAGAGGTCAAATCTGAGTTTGTTCGAAGTGCCAACGCAAGTGCTTTTCCTCCATCATCATATAAACAATTGTTACTGATATTTAATGAGGTAAGAGTTGAATTTTCGCAAAGAGATTCTGCTATATCCTCTATTGCTTCAAGACCAAGCATGTTATCAGAAAGATCTAGAGACGTAAGGCCAATGTTCATATAAATAGCATTTGCTAATGCTCTCCCTCCTTCAGCACAAAGTCTATTAAGGCTAAGATTTAAAGATCTAAGCGAACTATTTCTGTAAAGAGCTTTAGCCAATACTTTTCCTCCTTCACTACCAAGGCGGTTATTACAAAAGTTTAAAGAGGTAAGAGTTGTGTTTTTACAAAGTGCCTCTGAAAAAGCTTTTCCACCTTTATAATCAATTCGATTACTAGAAATATTTAAAGAAGTGAGTGTTGTATTTTTATAAAGAGCTTCTGCTAATAGTATTCCTCCTTCCGAACTGATTTCATTACAAGAAATATCTAAAGAAGTAAGAGAAGTGTTTTTACGAAGAACTTCTGCTAACATCTTTCCTCCTTTATTCCAAATCTGATTAAAATAAAGATCAAAACAGGTAAGAGTCGAATTTTTGCCAAGAGCCTTCGCTAATGCATTTAAACCTTCATAACTAATTTGATTTTCATTAAGATCTAAATGAGTCAGAACGGTATTTTTACAAAGTGCATCAGCCAATAATTTTGCACCTTCATCATGAATCATATTAACACCAAGATTCAAAGAGATAATTTTAGTATTTTTATAAAGTGCTCTTGCAATAGCTTTTGCTCCTTCAACGCCAAGTTGATTATGACTAATATTTAATATTTTCAAAGAGGTATTTTCGTAAAGTGCCTCTGCAAGCACTTTTACACTTTCAACACTGAGACGATTACCAGAAAGATCCAAAAAGTTTATAGAGGAGTTTTTAAAAAGTGCATTCGCTAATGTTTTTCCACCTTCATCACCAATATTACTATAACGAAGACATAAAGTTGAAAGAGTGTCATTTTGGTAAGGAACTTCTGCTAATAATTTTCCACCTGCACCAATAAAGAAAAGAATTTTTAAAGTGTCTAGTGTTGTGTTTTTGAAAAGTGCACTAGCTAATGCTTTTACTTCATCAAAATCGAAATCGGCCGATTCAAGTTCAATGTCTTTAATAGTTTTGTTTTTGTAAAGGGTTTCTATTAGTGTTTTCTTAAATATGGCAGAATTATAACCAGAAATTTTTACTGAATTAAGTTTTTCACTTGTTCTTAAAAGCATTGAAATTAATGAACATTTGATTAATTGAACGATATTTGTATTATTATGATAATATTCCTTATGATAATCAGTTAAATCACGAGGAGTATGACCTTCACTTTTAATCCAAGCAATGATTGATCTGGTAAGATAATAGTCATTAAAAGTGACATTAAAAGTAGCGTAATTAATTAATGGTTTTGGACCATTCGGAAGTATTAAATCAAATGGAATTAAAGAAGCTTGTTCTTCAGCATTTAATAAAGAAAGGTAAATTCTTAAAATTCTTGCATCTTCAAAATTTTCTAAAGGTTTTTTCCATAAAATTGGTACAATCAATCGACACCAATGACGACTTACAAGAAGGCATGAAAATAAACACCTGACTTGTAGATAACTAAATATTTCAAAATAACATTCATTTGACAATGTTATCATTTTGAAAAAAAAAAATGAGAAATTCAAAAAGACGAATTTATTTCAGGTTTTATAGAGATCTTAAACAATGATGAACAACAAATCAACCAATCAAATTTTAATATACGTGATTTCCAAAATTCAGCAGATCGACCAAAATTCTGGGCCGGAATTCATCGGAGTTAGGGTTAGAGTTAAGTCGGTATTAGTACTAATGCTGGTCAGAGTGGTTATGAATTTATTAGCAAAAATTTTAGTGATTTTGGTACACAAAATCGTTTATACGTTGTAGAAGTCGAACCGGTTCGTACAATTCAACTTCAAAATATTACAGCTGTTAGACTATCCAATTCGATAAGTTTTTGATTTCGGCATAATTATGCCGAAATCAAAATCGGAGTCAAAATTTAATCAGGTGTCCCAGTAAGAATGAAAACAGCTATAACTCGATTTCTGATATTTCAATTCGTTCGACCAATCAGAATTATCATTAATCAACGTGATTAAATTCAATTCGGATTAGATCTATAAATTATATTTTATATTAAATGTAAGCTTATTTATTCAACGACGCTTATAATTTAAACACTGCTATTACATTTTCCGATTTAAAAATATAATACGATTTTTTAAACCTCTACTTATTTGGAAAATAGTTTAATTTTGAAACCTTCTAATAATAACAATTAAGTATAGGTGCAGACATTTGTTGATGTATGGATACGTGTTGTCACGTCAAAAGTGTATCGACGTAGGTCGTAATAATAATTTGGATTCCAATATAATATTTCGAGTTTAATTGAGTAAAAATATCAATTCACATTATTTCAAGACAAAGTCTCAGTAATCGTTACAAATTGCCCTTGCTTTTTATACCAATTACTGTAATTAACAAAAATAAGTAGACTACTTTTTTTTTAATGCATTTTCGGAGATATTTATAGTGGTATAAATAATTTTTTGGTTCGCTAATTTTTTATTTCTTTTCCAAAATTGTTTTTATACATGGTGTCTTAATTACTGATGATTTACGACAGACAGCATGACGAAAATTTGTAATTTTTCGCTGTGTTTCGAAACTAGGGATGGATTCGGCTTAACCGACAGGGGTAAATTTGCCACCCAAAAAAGTTTAGAAAATCATGTGATATTGTCAATTCATCATGATTTGAACATAAAAGATTAATTTATTACTTATCGTTATTATTTATTAAGTTACATGAATTTTTAGTGCTTATTATATTTGACATGTGATGTTCAAAACTTTTGAGAACACCTCTAAAAATCAGCCAATCAGATTTCGAGATTAGGTGTAATATGAAAATCAATTTCACGTTATACAATTCTGATTGGCGTGCGAATTTAATCATCATCTAATCAGTTATAATTTTGGTCAAATTTGCAGATTATTTGATCAGATTTGAAATTGTTTTGTTTTAGATCTAGTCAAAATTATAACTAATAGGTTTTTCTATTTATTAGTTAATGCAAATTCACAAATATGAATTATTTTTTTTTCATTCAGCAGTTATATCAAAACTTTATTTAGATTTGTTTTTATATATAGAAAAACATCATTAATTGATTAATGCTTTTTAATGTTTAATTTTTTAAGTTCTAACTTACTCAGTTATCCTATAGATACCTATATGTGATCTGCTATAGTAACCTTTATACCAAAATGTTTATTACTACAAATTTGTAGTTATAGACTTTTTGAATATAGATATTACAGCTCATCATAATTATTTTATATCTAGTTAACTAAAATATCTTCTTTTACTTCTCTTTCTATACTAGTTCAACTA